GGTGGTGGTGGTGGTTCCGGTATGGTTTCGGAGGACGTTCAAGTGAAGTTCGTTGGGATGAATATCGTGGAGGAGACGATTGAAGTGGATGTGCAAAAGATTTTGTGTAAGAGGTTCCGTTTCCTTTGGACTGCAAACTCAAATGCTAATTGATTGTTTTCTTTTTGTCAGCGAACCCCTGTTCATGTCAATTTGGAGGTTCATGCGTGTGCTCTGAACTCCCCGCCATGAAGGCGAAACGTATCTCCCCTTCCCCTTCCATATCGATGGGCAGCCCCGTGCCTCAGTCGCCTTTCCTCGCAGCCGCGGCATCCCTCCAAACATTCCCACCAAACATGCCCACCATGCTTCCTGTAACGACACCGAACGTGTCAACCATGCTCTCACCATCAACACCAAACATGCCCACCATGCTCACGGCATCTCCACTCCTTCCTCAGCATCAACAAGTGGTATTCAACTCACTTCAGCAGCAGCAATCCTTTCCCATGACGCAGGGTCAGCTCTTTCCGACTCTCCCGGCAGATTCTCAGATGGCGTTTAATTCGTCCGGCTCGGCGCAGCCTCAGGGGACGTTTGACCATTCAGTCGACTTCAACGGACACGATCCGGAATTGTTGTCGGCCCTGTTTGCGCTACAGCAGTCGGGACAAGTCGGTGTTTCGGGGATGCAGGCTCAGACAGGGGGAGGCGGGTGTTGCGGAGGAGGGCAGAAGCAGACGGTAGTGCAGAGTGGTGGGTGTTGTCAGCCGCAGCCAGTGCAGCAGAAATCGGGTTGCTGCGGTGGTGGGAATGCGGCGCCAAAACCGGCGGGCAGTTGTTGCCAGCCTGTTCAAATGTCTTCTGGGTGTTGTGGCGGGGGCGCGAATGCGAACCGGGGAGGAAGTTGTTGCGGGGGTGCTCCCACACCTGTCTCGGTCAGTGGATGCGGCTGCAAAAGCGGGTCGTCTTCCTCCGTTCCCACAACCACCGGATGTTGTGGGGGATCTACTCCTGCTCCAGCGCCGGCACCTGCCAGTACGGGCGGATGTTGCGGCAATAAATCGTCCCCACTTCCTCCAACGCCGACGAACGGCGGGGGGTGTTGTGGCGGCGGTGCGCAGCTCAACGTACCTAAAAGCGGGTGTTGTAGCGGGAACGTGGCACCAGTGCCAACGCAATCTGGATGCGGCTGCGGGAGTCAATCCCAATCCGGTGGTGCATCATGCTGTGGCAACGGGGACGGATCCTCGACATTGTACAATATGGACGACATGCGGGACGCGATCTGCAAGTGCGGGTGTTCTGGTGGATCTGACGAAGACGGTGCCGGTGGCGGTGGGGTGGACGCTGCTGCTGGTGGTGGTGGCGGGTGTGGGTGCTCGTAAAATGTGGAAAGGAAGAATCCCTTGCTACACTTGTAAAGAATCGGCGTAGATTTGTGGCGGTAGATTGCAGGAAGGGATGGTCGTTTGGCAGTGCCTGCTTTGTATATCAATTTTGGATCTGTTTCCAAACCTGTACCTACGAGTTTTGCTTGTTGGGTTCGTTGCTGAGGAAACTTCATCGAGGTTTTCCTCAAACAACATACGTCCGTACAAGTCCTAAGGACACAAACGGCAACCGTCTAGCATCGACCTACCCGTTCTCTCTTAATTTCTACCTCATTCCACCTCCTTACGAACTCACGCTGAATGAATTTGAAACCTACGCCCTTTCCCGCCAGGAAGTTCTCAAGACCATCGAGGTGGTAGGACGTGCAAGAGGGTAGTCGTGGCCGTGTTCAAGGGCCAACGTGTATGGAGAACTGGAGTTAATGAAGGAGAGCAGCGGGTGAGGGTTCTGGCGAAGGAGAATAAGGAGGAAAGGGTATTCTACACAAAATGTGGGGAGAATTAAACAAAAGGCGTTTTGGAGCATGTTTTATGACGACTAAGCGTGTGTGGGAAACCGGAAAATGGACCCAACCGCAATAACATGGTGCAGAAACGGTACCCCATGTTTCAGCGACAAGTCGCAGGATACATCAGTCTATCAGTGGCAACAGTATCGCACCGGTATCCTCCGACCTGCGCATTCAGCATGAGACAAGGGAAACGAATATGGAAGATGGACCCTCGTCGATTTCTTTTGACATCATGTCTTTTTCACTTGCTAAACCAAGGGGTATTATCCCATGAATCATCCCAATGACTCTGATTTGCAAACAAAGAAAACCTCCAATCAAATCATAAAAAGAGTGGCAACGGTTCGTACAGGAGGCTGACTTTTTCATAAGAGAGGCGGAAGAATAGTTTGCTCAGCTCAGCCTGTCCAGCGCTTGCTGGAGGCTCAGTTGGCTAGAGCGTGGAGTCCAAATCTCATAGGGAACAAATATGCTCTTACAAGAGACTCCATGAAACGGTGTGCGCAGTCGTCTTCCGGTATCCAGAACACGAAAATCAAGACTCCCATTGATCACCGCCCCGCTCACTCACCAAGAAAGAAGAGGAAAAACTAGCTCGATTAGCTCAGTTGGTTAGAGCGTGGTGCTAATAACGCCAAGGTCACAGGTTCGACCCCTGTATCGAGCAAACGACAAGATGGTAAAACCGACCCCGGTATTCTTCTTTTGCGTCCTGTTGCAACCTTTCCGTCATTGCTTTTGCCCTGTTGTGCAGGCTTTTCCTGCAAAGTTTTGGGTTACCTTCCTCGCCCTTGGAGACAAACGACGGACCGTGCAAAGGAGACTAAGACGACAACGTTTTTGATATGGGAAATATATATTTGCAATATAATAAGTGGGTAACAGTTTGTAAAACCCCAGCCCGAAAGCACGATCAATACATAGGTAAATACCAAACCAATTTTCTACATAATAATGGAAGGCTCGGTGATGTTTGCGCTCACGCTCTTGTGCGGGAGCACGCACCCACCATTGATGTACACCTCATCCGCGATGTGCACATCGTCACCCAACACGCTTGTTCCCTCTAATCTTGCCCACCGTCCAACGGTCGAATGCCACCCGACGATAGTCGACTGCACCCACGCGTGGTCTTTTACTTGCGCGCCCTCCAGAATGACAGTGCGGGAGAGACGGACGCCGTCGCCGATGACGCAGTTGGGACCGATGACGACGTTGGGGCCGATTTTGCAGTTTTCGCCGATCTTTGCTGTTGGGTGGACCAGGACGTGGCCGGTGAAGGATGGGCCGGTGGCGAGGGATGTTGGGTCGCGTTTGGCGATGGAGTGGAGGAAGAGACCGGTACCGGTGAGGTAATCGCGGGGTTGACCGACGTCCATCCAGAAACCGGGGAGTTCCATACTGTTTAGTGTGAACAGCGATTTTGTGAGTGACATGGAAATAATGATGGATGTTGACCGAAAAGAACATTAAAACACTTACGCATGCAGTTTGTTTTCCTTTGCGATGGCGGGGAAGACGACTTTTTCCATAGATGTGGGAACAGGCTCAATCCGGTCCAGAACGGATGGGTTGAAAATGTAGATACCGGCGTTGATTTTGTTGGATACGAATTCCTTTGGTTTCTCCACAAACCGCTCGATACATGTCGAGTTGGGTTGGTTCACCACCACACCATACTTTGACGGCTCGTCAACGCGGGTGACGAGGATGGTTCCCTCCCCACCGTGAGATTTGTGGAACGCGGCGAGTTCTTCAAAGGGGAATTCACAGGTGACGTCGGAGTTGAGAACAAAGAAGGGTGAGTCGTCCTTGCCGAGAACGTGTTTGGCGAGGGCGAGGGGTCCGGCGGTGTCGAGGGGTTCGTTTTCGATGGAGAAGGTGATGCGGACTTTGAATTCTTCTTCGTACTTTTGCATGAAGGTCGCCATGACTTCGGGACGGTAGTTGACAGCAAGGACGATTTCAGTGACTCCCGCCTGGAATGACCAAAGGGGAAAATGGTGCCCGATCAATCTCTGAAACTTTCCAATCCTGATCTCTCCTCATCTGTCAGAAAATCAACATACCTTGACGAGAGCCTGAATCTGGTGCAAAATCATGGGACGGTTCGCAAACTCAACGAGGGGCTTGGGAACGGTGAGAGTAAGAGGCCTCAAGCGGGTACCGAAACCTAGAGATCAACCACATAAAACTTGGTCAGTCTTCACGGAACTTTCCCACGCAAGATGATCTTGGCATCGTGTCAACCGTCCAAGTGTAACTCACCACCGACGAGAATGATAGCCTTCATGGTGTTTTTTGATTGGGGGTGGAGGGAAGGTTGTTTGTTGAGTGGTAGTTTTTGTGTTGCGTGGGTGTTGTTCAAAGATCAGCGAAGGTGGGGGGATGTGGGTTCCTTTTATAATGAGAAGGGTGCCTTGCTTTTTGTGAGAGTGTGAATATTGGAAGGCTGTGTTCTGGCCCTTTGAGCCTCTTTGAGCCTCTCAGTTGCAAAAGCGTGTTTCCCTTTGATAAAATTTCATTACGCCACGGTCATCAAAATGAGAACATTTCATCAAGGCCGCGTTCCAAATTTGGAAACTGCACACATTGCACGAATTGGATGATGCGGCAGCCCGCACCCAGAGACTTGTTCCATTGTTGGGTCATTTTTGGATCCGCTTCGGATTCGAAGCACAGACAGGAGGATACAGGAGATACAGGTGCCATGACCCGGGTTGACGTCGGTGATTGGTCCCAGGAAAATGGAAGGGTCGGACGCGCCCATCGATTACAGCTGCAAAACTTTCTTTTTTCTTGGGTCCTCGTTTCAAGGTTCCGGGCTCCTCACCTCCTCATCTACGAAAGATGCGCGGAAAGAGGATGGTGAGGTTTCCGAACGTCACGGTTCTGGACGCAAAGACGGACTCGTTGCGAGAGTCGGCAACGAGGGAGCGCGAAATCGGGTTTCCCTGAGAAGGACAGACTTGCTCTGGGTGGATTTCTCCTCATTCAATTGAAGACAGCACAATTGAGCTACGAGATTCGCTCTTCGTCCGCGTGAATGGCGGACCTTTGACTGTCCCGTTTGAATGGAAGGAGGGATCAGTTTAGCTGCGAAGTCATGTATTTGAACCCAACGGGCCGCTCATGCAGCTCTCTGTTGACCGCCGATCAATCATTGCCGGTCCATCTTTAGTCATACTTATGTATTATGTGGAGTTTTCCTCTTTCTCTGCGAGGATACATTGTATCACACTTGGGTTGGGATGGCACGAATGAATTTGTTGTGCGCGGAGGCTCGAGAGTTGCAATTGTCGTTAGCTTTGAAGATGTTGCGTTCATTACTGGCATTCTGGATCTGCCTGGCTATAGGAATTGGCTCTACACGACCTAGAATACATACAACTACCGTGATAAACGTCATTGTGCATTTCTTGAGTGGTATCTTGCGTTTGCCGTTATTTCGCCTAGCACCAGCATTGTGGACGTGTGTAGCGACCAGCTGCCTTCACTAGGTCGTCCAAACCGTCGTATAACATCCAGTAGAGCAAATGAGACGGTGGAGGACGAGTGGACGAAATGAGGATTGGGATTTGAGGTCCGATGTCAAAGTCGTAAGTATTTCCACCTGGTCGGTTCGTCGTAATATGTCCGTGCAATCCCACTCTATGGGTCCATTCGGGATCGCAATTTCCAACGCAATAAGTTGTGGTAAATTTGAAAAAATGATACGATGGGGAGTTGCTGCGACAACATGTACAAAGCTGCGCGTAAAGGTTGAAAGGCAGAGGTTTTGAGCTGTTGCTTACGCAACCGCGACGGTGGCGCAGCATCCCAAGGATTTCTGTCTCGAAAACTTTAGCATTTGGCAGTTGCATTGTTCGTTCAGGGGTGACCTTATGCTGAAGGGTGAGACCCCCTTCTAACACGACGCACACAGCGCTCACAAGTTACTTTTCGGCTGACAACCCCGTTTAGGCCCCTCTAGCCTTTTCGTCCACCTGAGAACGCTTTTGAGAACACGACCCTTCCAGTCCTTCCCCACCCCCTTCACCATGCAAGACACAGCAGCCGTCCCAGAACGACCTGCACCAGGACCTGGCGCAAAACGCTTGGGGGAGGACGAAGAAGCATCGGTCCAACCCCCCGAAAAGAAGATCAAAGTAGAACCCACTTCCAACGGCGGGGAGGTTGACAGTGTCGAACCAGGTTCTGAAGACAAGACGGTGGATGCTGCTGCTGCCACCGCGACCGTGAAGAGCGAACCAAAGTTGGGTAAAGGGGGGCAACAGAAGCAAAAGAATCAAAGGAAGCAGAAACCGTCGACCTGGAACGAACCTGGCAAGAGCTTCGACTGGTTGAAGAAGGAGTATGTTAGGCCGGAGGGTGTGGCCGAACAGGGGAAGTTGCCCAAGCGGAAAGTGGCGTTGCTTATGGGGTATTGTGGGAAGGGGTACATTGGGATGCAGTTGTGAGTGTCTCCGGGCGTGGTCCGTTCTTTTCCGGTTTGTGTGGGGAGATAGATCGCTCATGTTGGGAGTTCGCAGGAATCCCGACGTGCCAACCATTGAGTTGGAACTTTTCAAAGCGCTTGCAAGTGCGGGAGCTGTGAGCTCTGATAATGCGATGGATCCTATGAAGGTAATGCGTCATCGCGTTTTGGGAAGCTCTATTCCGTAAAGTGCCGTCGTACTCATAAGTAATAAACAGATCTCATTCGTGAGAGCTGCACGAACGGATAAGGGGGTTCATGCGGCAGGGCAAGTGTGCTCATTGAAGATGATTATTGAAGACAAGGACATTGTCCAAAAACTCAATGAGCTGCTCCCACCTCAGATTCGGATATGGGGTGCGTTCACCGCATTACACCGAGATGCTCTGGTTACTGATGAATTAATACATGTCGTTCATTTGCAGGTTACGTAAGAGTAAGCAAAGGTTTCCACGCCAAAAACGCCTGCGATTCCCGCATCTACGAGTACATCCTCCCCACCTACGTCCTGCAACCGTGCTCGCCCGTGCTGTACCCACGTACTGCCGTAGGCGAAGCCGCGGGAATGATCGTCACGGAAGAGGATGAGCATAACCTGTTCAAGACCATGGACACACCCAGAATGACCAAGGCGGATCTGGACCGGATCCGATCGTACAGGGCTCCCGCGGAGCAGTTGGAGAAACTTCAGGCGGTGTTGAAGGAGTACGTCGGGAGCAACAATTTTCACAATTTTACAACTGGGATAAAGTTTGAGGAAAAGCGCGGTATCCGCAATATCAAAAGCTTTGAGGTGTGTAATGTTTTGGGGAACGGGACTTACCCAAAATGACGCCGCGTGATTGAACGTTCGGCGCCACTTTTGCAGTGCGGCAAACCATTCGTCAGAGAAGGTATAGAGTGGGTGAGCTGCAAAGTGCACGGCCAGTCCTTTATGCTTCACCAGATTCGAAAGATGATTGGTGGGTTTTTGCGTGTGTTTGGACGATTTAGATACATGGGCGATATGACCCACTCCTTTTTTATGTTCAGGTTTGGCAATCATGATTATTCGAACCGGAACCTCGATTGGGTTGGTCAAGGAATCGTTCAAACGAGAAAAATTGAACATTCCGAAAGCACCGGCCCTTGGTCTGCTGCTCGAGCAGGTGTGATTCATTTTGGCAGTCTTTTGACTCCACTTTGGAGTG